GATGCCTTAAAACGCGTATCCGCGTTAGTCGACCTCAGAGGGTTTTAAGCTGAACACAATTTCCCCCAGCTTCCCATACGTCATTACTTACCTGAGCAAACAACGCACGCACCCAGTATATCTCAGCAGCCTAACAACACACATGGAAGGCCATAACAGGAGGGAAGGGGCATTTTAAATCTTGCTAATTACATATAAAGCCCCGAATGGTTTAGCTACTCAGTATTTGAGCCAGCTCTTATCACATTATTGGGGGCGCATTAATGCACGGGCTTCAAGGGGCTGAAGCCCAGGGGCCGAGATTGGAAAGGGGGCCCACTGGCTGCAGGGAAATTATATTTTTTTGAATAATTATTTACATGGGAGTCTGCAGGCATGACAACAGCGTTCTGTAAACAAACTCACAGACTAATTTTTAGCGATGCCCTGGTTGAAGTAGCCTATATAGTGAATGGCTCAGTTTAGGTTCCCCCCACACAGTTTGAATAGTTGGTATGTTCCACGTGTTCCACCGATATACTGTAAGCAGAATGTACAATACATTCGCTCCGCGCTTACCCCTCTTCTGCTTCCTCTCGCGCCGCTTGTGGCGCCTCCGCCACAAGCGTATCTTAAATAACTGCATCTTAAATACCGTGCGGTATCTTAAATACCGTGCTGCGGTAATCGTAAATAACCGCAGCACGAGAGTATCTTTATGTCAACATGCAGATGAACAGAAACACAACACTGCTGTGTGAAAGCATCGTTCTGTAATGTCATACAATGAGAGTTCAGTAACTTGCTTGGATGTAATCTGTCATCTGTGTTTCATAAATAGTGTCAATTTTAGATTCGGGTCTCAAATTCTCCATTTTAAATCCGGGGATGGAAAAATAGGAATTGTCCTATTGGTTAAATTTGATCATAAAACTTTATACGGCTGTGATTTAACTAATTAAACGTGAGCATGTCATGTTTCAAAATAAAAACGCAGTTAGCAATCACCGTGTGCCATCATGCCGTGTGTTTTGCTCTACTAATGATGAATAATTAATATTTTGTGTAATTTACCCCTTAAAAATGGGGGAAAAATGTGTTTTTTTGGGGGGTTGGGGGGCCTTCTGTAATGCTGTAGCCCAGGGGCCTTTGTTTATCTTAAAGGGTCAGTTCACCCAAAAATGAAAATTCTGTCATTAATTACTCACCCTCATGTTGTTTCAAACCCGTAAGACCTTCGTTCATCATGAAGATATTTTTGATGGAATCTGAGAGCTGTCTGACCCTGCACATACAGCAACGCAACTGAAATAATCCATGTGACATCAGTGGTTCATCCGCAATTATGTGAAGCTACGAGAATACTTTTTGTGCGCAAAAAAATTAAAATGGCGACTTTATTCAACGATTCGTCTCCTCCGCATCACCCTGGTGCCATTTTGGAGAATATCCGCTGGACGTAAACAGCGTATGCTGTTCTGTGTCAGCTGCGTCACGCTGGATCTGTTTCCTACGTTGTTGTGATTTGATCTGAACAGAAACCGCGTATCCGTGTGACGCAGCTGACACAGAACAGCATACGTTGTTACACCATGGTGATGCGGAGGAGACGAATCGTTGAATAAAGTCGCCATTTTAATTTTTTTGCGCACAAAAAGTATTCTCGTAGCTTCGTAAAATTACGGTTGAACCTTGACATTTTGTCAGACAGCTCTCAGATTCCATAAAAAATATCTTAATTTGTGTTCCGAAGATGAACGAAGGTCTTACCGGTTTGAAACGACATGAGGGTGAGTAATTAATGACAGAATTTTCATTTTCGGGTGAACTAACCCTTTAAGGCGCCCCTGCGCATTATAGTCCTACACATCTGCTGTGATCTCAAAAATCTGGCCATTTGATAATACCTAGAATATCATCATCAACTGCGGAGCGGCAGATCCTTTTCCTATTTAGCGCCCAAACTCTGGAACAATCTACCTAGCATTGTTCGGGAGGCAGACACACTATGACAGTTTAAATCTAGATTAAAGACCCATCTCTTTAACCTGGCATACACATAACACACGATCACTTTTCTATAGTATTTTAAGTATTGTTAGGCTGCATTAATTAGGTCAACCAGAACCGGGAACACTTCCCATAACACCTGATGTACTCGCTACATCATAAGAAGAATGGCATCTACGCTAATATTAGTCTGTTTTATTCTTATTCCAAGGTCACCTCAGCCACCCAGATCCAGTCCGTATCCAGTCCAGATGGTGGATCAGCACCTAGAGACGACCTCTACAGCCATGAATGTCAGCGGAGGCCATGTCAACTAGATGATCCCCAGAGACAGATCCTCTGTGAAGACCTCGAGAACCAGACTAGTCCTCTGCTCAGTCTGACGTGCATTGCAGCCTGGAATTAAACCACACCATGCTGGTTTCATCTGGCCGGAGGAAAACTGGCCCCCCGAGGTTTCTCCCAAGGTTTTTTTTCTCCATTTCTGTAACCGATGGAGTTTTGGTTCTTTGCCACTGTTGCCTTTGGCTTGCTTAGTTGAGGACATCATTTCTGACAATATTGTTGACTTGAATGCACAGACCAGTCTGACTTCACAGAAGAGAACTGAACTGAGCTGGACAATGACATCACTGAATTAACAATGAACTGTTATGATCAATTAACTTGAACTTGTAATGCCTGTTTTCTATTGTCCTCTTGCATTATCAGCACACCTTTTTCCTTTTTAACACTTTAAAGTTGCTTTGACAATCTGTATTGTATATAGAACTATATAAATAAAGATGAATTGACTTGACGTGTAGAATGTACTCCAATAATCTTTTATTTAGAACTTTGAAAATCATTTTTAGTGTACATTGATTATAACTTGAAAAATGATACTTACCTTATTGCAGTCATTCTCAACTAGTGGGTTGTGAAACAAACAAATAAATACTAATAAGTAAATGAATAAATAAATATGAATGAACACAGGTGTGTTCTTATAAGGTCAAAGGCAACCCAATTTAAATAATTAAACAATCTGGTGTAGACACAATTTTCACTTTTCACTTTTTTGGAATTTGGAAAAAAATAATTTTCTTTGTAATAATACAAGACTTTAATAGCTGGGATAGCAAAATAGAGTTAAACTGCTTATCTCACTCTAGTTGAACATCTGCTTTATATTATAAGTGAATTTTATACTCAACATTGTAGTGAATAAAAGCTCTTAAATGCTTAAAAACTGTTGGAATTCTTCATAAACCATTTTATTTGCCGTTTTTAGTGCTGTATTGATGTTCCTCCCACAGGTGTAAGTTGTCTGTCGCTCTTCACAGTACAAATATTGATCACTATCAACACGTGGTCAATTTTCTCCATTTTACTCTTGTACTCCAGCCAGTCGCACTGTGTTTGTCAAAGGGAAGGATGCCATCCACTAAGCTGTGCACTGTGGAAACATCTGAAGTGCCAGAAATATTTATCAGCCTGTTTATTTTGGTTATCAATGCTTTTTTTCTCCATATCTCATGAGTCTTAAATAACAACTGAGAGGCAGTAATTAGTGGGGAAAAGCTCTAAGGAGAGATAATTGGGTTTAGTAGACATGGTTACAAGGAAGTAGTTTAGTTGCAGGAATCTTCTGTCTGTCAGAGAGCCAATTAACGGCATCCAACTGGATCCGAAACATCCTTTGTAGAAACTGCTGCAAAGTCAGTGCATAAATGAGTTGCATTTATATTTGGAAATACATTGAGGGAGGCATAGTGGACGTGGAAGTTTATTTTGATGGAAGTGTAAGAAATTATGTGGACAGTTAAGGCTTTTTAAAATGCTGTGTGCAACACTTACTAGGCGCTCTCCTCTTCTCCTAGGACCTAGGGTAAGGAAAGTTGGACAGTCTTGAGCTGCTTACATAATAAAATAGGCTTTAAGGTTCAAGGAAGGCTTTACCGCATGGCAATAAATAACACATTTTGTATTGCCCTGGGAAAAAAGGACATTTGCTATTTTTGGAACATAGTACACCTGCTCAGATTCAGCTCATAAATTATATCAACTTGCCTGCTTGGCATTTTTATATGCTACACTCACCTGGAAATGTCTAGACTCACCTGAACAAAAAATACATGTATGACACAGATTCTTCTTCCTATTACATGCTTAGTTTTACAAACTGTAGAATTAATTTACTTCTTATTTATTTCTACTGCAGAACATAATTTTTATTTTTATTTTTTACAGAATGTCGATGCTGCTCTTTTAAAATAAAAGCAGTGACCATTGTCTAGCTTAAATAATAAATAAATAACATATTGTGAAACACAATATTCCAAGTCTGCTGAAACTATATGTTATGGGAGAAAAAAAAGTGCTGTTAGACATAAAAACCAATGCTGTTTTATGTTATTTACATTACATCAAAATGTGCCAAACTTGAACATGCACATATGCAAATGAGATTTTAGAGGCTTTTTGATGTCTCTAATGTCTAATGAAAATGAATTGATAAAATCAGTTATAATAGAACATTTAAACAATCAACACTGAATTTCATTACTGATTACTGACAGGGTGCAACAGAGAAATTAAGCACAATAATGTTGACTAAAATATTTTTATGAAATATTTGTTGTACTTTAAATTTAGCTTTTAAACAATTAATTTAATAATTGACAGATAATCAACAAATTATCAATTATCAAAGTAATCATTAGTTACAGCCCTATAAAATGAAAGGTTCTTTATTGCCATTGATGGTTCCATGAAGAACATTTAACATCCATGGAATCTTTCCATTGTACAAAAGATTCTTAATAGTAGAAAATGGTTCTCAAACTTTTTAAAATGTTCTTCACACTAAGAAAATAACTTTTCACTGAAAGGTTCTTTGGGAACCAAAGATGGTTCTCCTGTCGCATCGCTATGAAAACCCCCTTTTGGAACCTTAATTTTTAAGAGTGTACTGTGAATTACATCCAAACACCCAAGAACCCTCCACATTTCAAAAACATTCCTTTATTATAAATAAATTATTTGTATAAAAATTGAATTGGCATGCTTCAACCATGGCATTTGCACACTCACAACCCGAGGTTATAGACCAGAGTAGCCAATACAAGAGACAAACGCATTTTCCAATGCAGGTCTGACACTGTGGGACAAGAATTAAAAATGTTCACAACCACAAAATACTTACAATTAGAATAACATGTAACATGTTCGACTCCAATATTTGTTCTGTTTCTTTAAACTTAGTATTTTTTTCTCTTACCCTTTTGCCAGTGTCCCGTTTTATTGGCTGCCCACGTAAATGGCAGCTTTTGTCTCCTTTTTTGGATGGCTGCCTAGGCTTTCTTAAAAAATATCCAGGAAAAAAAGTCCAAGAGTCCATCCTCTTGTCCACAAACAACACTGATGTCTCATGCTTGGATTTCAGTCATCGGATCCTGTTTTGTCGGAGCCAGCCAGATCCATGCCAAACCATTTTCAGGATGTGCACTCACATGGCATGATTGGTGTAGCTGACGTAGGTTGTTTTTGTGGACGGTGCTGAAAGAGTAAATAGCCAGTTAAGAAAAGACAGCTGTGTATCGGAAACAAGAAAACACAAAATCCCTGCAAGAGATGAGAGAATTGTGGTTAATTCAGTTTGATTCTGAGTGACCATCAGAATGAAATTCTCACTTCATTTCATGGATTGAAAATGATTTTTCTCTTGCTTTCATTTAAAAGTAGGAAGGAACAATTGAGAAAGTAATAACGTTCTTTTGTCATGTCTTTATCTTGTGGCTCTGGGGTGTGACACCTCATTCTCGAGAAGTCATTCTAAAAAAATCATTCATGGCAATTACATAAAAATTAAAATGAACACTCATTTCAGACATTATTGCACCTGTTACTTCTGGCACTGTTCACCCTCATGTTGTCACAAATCCATATGAATTTATTTTTTCAAAAGAAGAATTTTTGAAGAATATATCAGCCCCTCTTGACAATATTATTAAAAAGTGAATGAGAACTATGGCTGTCAGGCTCTAAAATGATTTTAAAAAGCACAACAATTTGTACAAATGGCCCATATGACTCATAAACTATATTTCAAGTCTTCTGACAGCTTTGAGTGACAAAAACTTCATTGACAAATTGTTCTCTTGAATCTTTTTCAATGCATTGTTTGAACCAGTTCATGAAACTGCTTTGAATTATTCATATATTATTATATGTTTTTTAATTCAACTCACTGATTTGGTCACAGCAGATAGCAGCTCACTAAAGAGGAAGATTTTCATTGACAAACGGCTTAAACTTCTGTTAATGTAAAAAGCTGTCATATGACTAGGACTGTACTAGTAATATGGACAACTTTTATGATGCATTTTTGAAGCTTGAAATCTCCGGCTCCCATTCAATGAAACTGCATGAAACGAGAGCACATTATGCAAAATTTCTCCTTTGTGTTTTCCACAAGAAAGAAAGTTCAGGGTTTTTGAACAATATCAGGTTGATTTTTGAATGATTTTTGGTCATTTTTGGGTGAACTATTCGTCAGCCAATAATCTCTTAGGCACAGTTCACCCAAAAATGTAAATCCTTTCATCGTTTATTTACCCTGAAGTTGTTCCAAACCAAACAATTGATGGTAGCCACTGATTTAGAAAGCATTTTTTCCCCGTCAACTGTTTGGTTACCCACATTCTTCAAAATATCTTCTTTTGTGTTCAGCAGAAGAAAGAAATTCAAACAGATTTGGAATTTCTTCAGGGTGAATGAATGATAACAGAATTTTCATTTTTGTGGGTGAAGTCCAGTGACCAAAAGAAAGCTGCTTAGTTTGAAAGTTCATACATTGCAACACTATCAAAAACAAACAATGGACCTTTTTTTTTTGCCTGCAAAATTTTGCTAATGTGACTTACACTTCATATATTGGTACCAACATATATATAATTGGTCCATATTGCTACTAATGATTAATGCAGTACCTGTACAGAACTCACTTACAACAACACATATTAGCACTAAAACTGACAAAGTAATGCAGCATTTACAGTACACAAATTGAACATACTGAGAAGCATCAAAACGTGTTTGTCCTCCAAAATAGGATTCTCTGCTTATTTATTACATGGCATATTTGACTCTCATTATGAACTGGTTCAGTGTTAGAGCCCTTTAGCAGAAGGGTCACGGCACATTAGTGAGGGACTGAACATTTGCATTAACTTTTACACAGTGATGTGGACCTGCGCATGCTGCCCTTGCCCCGGTTAATGATCCCTCATGTAAAAGTTAACACCACACTGGCTGCTGAAATACAGTCTGTTGCCATGAGCTTGCAGTCAGTAAATCAGATTCCCTCGGACATAATTTTATATGAGATGTGAATGTGAACCAAGCCATAAATGTTCCATCTAGTGTTAGCGTCAGACAACGCAGGCGGCATAGCTAATGAATTAGCAATGAAACTCAAGTGAATGCATCCTTATCTGCTCCATTTCCTCACAATAAAAAGCTTCAGATGACAAGATAAATACCAAAGAGAGTAAGCAATGCAAACATTGTAGAACGATTATCAGTTCATTAGCACAAATATCATGCACAGCTTAGCCACCATTAAAGGAATAGTTCACCCAAAAAAATGAAATTTTTTGGTCAAAATAGTATGTTTACTTTGTTAAATATATATGTGAGTCAATGACATATAAGAGAAAATAAAAATAAAATCTACTTTAAAATGAAACTTGCATTTATGTTGGTTTAAAAAAATATTATAACATTTTCAAAATGACTCTGAAATATAAAATGCCATGAGCTTGCAGTCAGTAAATCAGATTCCCTCGGACATAATTTTATATGAGATGTGAATGTGAACCAAGCCATAAATGTTCCATCTAGTGTTAGCGTCAGACAACGCAGGCGGCATAGCTAATGAATTAGCAATGAAACTCAAGTGAATGCATCCTTATCTGCTCCATTTCCTCACAATAAAAAGCTTCAGATGACAAGATAAATACCAAAGAGAGTAAGCAATGCAAACATTGTAGAACGATTATCAGTTCATTAGCACAAATATCATGCACAGCTTAGCCACCATTAAAGGAATAGTTCACCTAAAAAAATGAAATTTTTTGGTCAAAATAGTATGTTTACTTTGTTAAATATATATATGTGAGTCAATGACATATAAGAGAAAATAAAAATAAAATCTACTTTAAAATGAAACTTGCATTTATGTTGGTTTAAAAAAATATTATAACATTTTCAAAATGTTTTTTAACTGAAATGACTCTGAAATATCATATAGTGCAACCATCTAAGTAATAACATATTTAGAGCTTGAATACAAGTGTGTACAAATATTTTATATGTATAAACATTTTTTGTAAATAAAATATTTTAAAATAAAAATAATATTTTTTTTACAGATTTTACAAATTAAAATTACATTTATATTAAATTTTTTTATTTTGTGTTTTAAATTAAAAATAAATATATGATATAAAATCTAATTAAAATTACATTTATATTTTAAATTGCAATTTTGTATTTTAAATTAACAATATATAATTTATAAAACTAAATGTATATCTGAGACAGTGGTTCACAAATGATTTCTTGTAAAAATCAACATTTTTTATTCTTCTTTGAATAACAAAGGTTCCCACAGTCCCGGACAAGTCATGTAAATTGACAAAATCTTAAAACTCATGCCAAGCTCAAAAATATTTTACCAGGTAGAAATTATGAGTGAAAACTACTATATATTATTTATTTATTAAGAAAAAAATCCTTATCCAGTCAATTATGAATGATTAAAGTCATGTAAAGTCATTCATTAAAGTGGAAACCTTAACGTAGAACATTCAGCTCATCTGGAATCGTGAAATTAAATTTCCATAAACTAAGAGTGTTGGATCATTCAACATCTTGTGGACAATGGAGGGCCTGGAGTCAAAGAGGTTGAGAACCACTGATAATAAAATATTAAGCCAAACTACTTAAGGTTTTATTTTCAAGAATTTCTTTCTTTTAATTAGGCTTTTTTTTCCATCTTTATGATATCTTTATGAGTTTTATAACCATGAATTCTGACTTTATGCCCCCCCCCCCCCAAATATCAAAATAAATTTTAATACAGAAATTAAAATACATGAATTGCATTTTTAATCTACTTTTAAACAAAGAAAAAATCAGCATCATTAACATTAACAGTGTGCATGATAGAGAAGATGTCTGTACTCACTACTATTGTCCACACTCTCACAGAGTTCTGTTTTCACTTCTCCATTGGGCCGTTCACTGGCCAACTGGCTGAGCTTGTTTGTCATGGTGGCAGCGGTGACGATGGCCTTGAAGCTGCGCTTGCGTTTGGGCACGTTCTGTTCCGGGTGCAGGATAATGATGTAAACTTTGGGCATGTAGAGCATCCCCAGAGATACGGACGCACTCAGGCTCAGAGAGACGGTCAGTGTGGCCGTCTGAATGTACATCTGGAGAAGAGAAGAGGGTGATATCAATGGTTAGAGTATGGGTAAAATACTGAGCATAATAGCTCTGCCCCATAGGCGACAAATGTTCTAATGTAACACACACACACACACACACATATTTTCTTTCTTACGAAGGTCCCTGAGCTACTCTAAAGAAAAAAAATAGGTTTCTTAATCTTTCATCAAAGTGAAATAACTTTCTCCACCTCTGATGTGACTTTCTTCTTTTACTCGTGTAACCAAGGCCATAGTAACTACTGTAGACTTCTTACATCTTTTTAAAGAAAACATGAGTGGCGCTTGTCCATATTTGTCACTACTGCAAAACAAAATATTTTATTTGCTCACACTGCTCTATGGTTGTTAGGCAATTGCTTTTAGTGTTAGTTTTTTTTTTTTTTTAGTGCTACATGGTTAGTTTTAGGCCCAATCCCAATTCTACCCCTTAGCCCTTCCCCTTTCCCCTACCCCTCCGTTTGGCGCGTTCACATGAAGGGGTAGGGGTGTCTCGATTCTCTTTTGGTCGTAGGGGTAGGGGTAAGGGGAAGGGCCAGATAGCCCTTCAAACGAAGATTTTTCGGGACCACACTTCAAACTAAGGGGTATGAATTATCTCAGCGTAAACCGGCTCCAGCGGCAACATGGCTGCCCGAGCGAACAAAAAGACACATAAATGTAAGCATTTTTGGCATTAATAAAGATTTTAACGAAAAGTAATCATTTGTTTTATGTTATATTCAATCGTGAGTTCATATTTACGGTCATGTTACTCAAAGAAATGTTTGCAAAAAATCACTAAAGTTTGCTAACGTCATATCATTACTGACTGCACGATAGTGCCACAACATAGGCTATTTTCATGTCTGATCAGGGCAATAATAACCACCATAGACATTGAGGCGGGCTAGTACCCCCAATAGTTATAAATCGCTAAACCCTTTTCTGAAATATTGCCAATTCGAGAGAGAGAGAGATGAAAGTTGCGTGCGTGCGCTTCTCTTTTTAGAGTGAGTTTACTTAAAAAACAGCGATTTTATCCTCTAGTTGCTGGAAAATATAACGAGTGATTCAGTATTTAAACTGTTATTAATAAAAGTCATGGGGCAGCGTTGACAAGTTTCTTTGCTCCTGGATGTGTGAGCTGCACGATATCTGATGTGTGTGTGTGTAAACAGCGCATTAATATAGAACGGTAATTAAAGGCTCTGATGCACACCAGTATATGTGTGTGCATTGTAGGAGCTAGACGACGTATGATGACTTGTGACGTATAGTAGTGGTGTCCCAATTCTTAGGGGAATATTTTCACCCCTACCCCTTGACACTCTGTTTCAAGGGACAAGGGGAAAGGGTAGGCGGAGTGGTAGGGGAAGGGGAAGGGGTATAAAATAGAATTGGGATTGGGCCTTAATCAAAAGAGGCAACCCTCAGGTCCTGGGGCTGGATTCATTAAACATTATTAAGAATTAAAATTATTCTTAACTGCTACTTTCTTCTTATTTCCTTACTAAGGAAAAACTAGCTTCTTAAAAAAAATTAAGGCAAACCCTAAGAAGAATTCATATTCTTAAAAGGAATTGTATTAAAAATAATCATAAATAACTTTTTAAGGTATAATAACATGATGCAGAGTGCTGAATTCCCACCAAGCCATTTGCAACGAAAATATCTGAGAACTTCTTAAGAATCTGTCAAAGATTGCAGTTATGAACATTCTTACTAACTTCTTGGAATTCATTTTAATAATAACTTCCCTCTTAACAAGATTTTCATGAATCCAGCTGCTGATTTCTAGAACTGGATCAAGATCTTCCTTCAGTGTAAGTCTATGAGAATTTTGTTTTATTGTCCACCAGATTACAATAAGTTGTTAAATGGCACTGGCACACCTGTTCTCGACAAGCCGCATAATGTATCATTCATGTTTGAAGCACTTACACAGGAAGAGTTGTGCAATAAATTTGGGTAAGGGATTTGTTCTGTGCTAATATAGCTAGGTACTTAGATAACAAGTGATAAATTATTGCTAACATTATTATGTTAGTAGATTATTAAGTTAGAATGTACCTCAAGATCAGGAGGTCTGACTACATTTTGGCGCACTCAAATCAATTCAAATCTGATTTCAATAATGCTAACGTTTACAAATTCACAAAGCTTGAACCTAGGATGCAACCACACGCCCCGAGCAAGACAATTTAAAATGTTGATTCATCCTTGCCCATGTTTGAGAGTTTGATAAATGACTAACCTCGCTAACAAATATATGACTGCTTACCTTACCTTGGGTGCGAGTGATCAGTAAGCTAACGAGCAGTAAATGATAAAATATGCCTGCTGTGGGTGAAGCAGATGATAAAGCTCTTCACATTTATATTAAGAGAAATGGGGTGCTGAGATCGAATGACTGCAGGTTTTTAGGTCAGGGAAGAAGAATCTAGAGCACTTACTACTGCTTATATGAGACTGAAATCAAATGAACTGTATTGCTTAGTATTGACGTGGGCAAAGAGGTAAACACATCAGCAGAGGATTTCATGTACTGTCTCTCCAAGACAACAGAGCGCTGCCATCCTGTCAAAGAAATTTGACTGTGCACAATGCTCGCTGAATCTCCCTTTGAATTGTAATTTATTTCAAGTCTACCCTTGTGACCCTGCTACCACTCTTTTGTGTAAGTCTCCATACTGCCAGACAGTAGAAGGAGTGACACTCACTGAAAAATAAATCGGAGAACATACTGTAGCAGCTGTGGCAAAGGAATTCATGCATTTTAAAGCAAGCAAAGGAGTTGTATATCCTTTAGCATTTCTTCTAAAGTGAAGTAAAAAGTGAAGTGACGTGTGGCCAAGTATGGCGACCCATACTCAGAATTTGTGCTCTGCATTTAACCCATCCAAGTGCACACACACAGCAGTGAACACACACACACAACGTGAACACACACCCGGAGCAGTGGGCAGCCATATTGCTGCGGTGCCCGGGGAGCAGTTGAGGGTTTGCTGCTTTGCTCAAGGGTGTCACCTCAGTCGTGGTACTGAAGGTGGAAGAGAGCACTGGTTATTCACTCCCCCCACCTACAATCCCTGCTGGTACTAAGTCTCGAACCCACAACCTTCGGGTTAGTTCGACTCTCCGACTCTCTAACCATTATGCCACGACTGCCCCAAGAATCTAGAATGGTTATGTATTTTAGCTTGACCCTCTACTGAAAAAAAACTTGGCTAGTCTGATGGCTGGTTTTAAAGGGGTTTTGGCAACTTTTCAGGTGTTCAGACTGGGAGACTATCTTGACGACCAGCTAAATCTGCTGAACACCAGCCAGACCAGCTTGGCCAAGCTGTGTGACCATCCTGAACCAGCTAAGACCAGCAAAGTAACCTTGGTTTAAGATGGCCTTTTCAACAGTGTCATCCATTTAAAATATAGTCTGATTCAAGCTAAAGAAGCAGATTTTTTGGGAACTAGCTGCCTGATGATGTTGTTTAAATGGCTGCTGAATGACTTGCTTTCAAAATGACTTTGATATTTTTTCATGTGATGTCAAATGTCATATAACTATGGAGCCCCTAAGGGAACGAGGTGATAGAAAGAATATGAGACTGGAGGAAAAATTATATTTCAATGCTTTTGAGTTCACTTGCAAAAGTATTACATTCCTCCAAGAAACGTTGTTTCCTCACAAAAGCATCATCTCAGCTCATATTATTTCCATTAAAAAAGGTTTGTGAGCGAAATGCAAAGTTTCTCAGAGGGACACAAAGGTTTTGCAAGAGAACCCAAAGGTACGGTGGAATGAAAATGTTTTGTAAGAGAACCCAAAGTTTTTTGGGGTAGCACACAAGGTTCTCAGAGGAATGGAAAAGTTCTTAGAGGAACAAAACATTTTTTGGGAACACTCAAAAGCATTGAACACTGAAAACACTCAAAAGCATTGAAATATAATTTTTCCTTACATCTCATTATTTTCTCATTACCATGTCCCTTTATCGGCTCCATATACTGTATATCACATCATACAGCGTGGCAGAAACAAACTGAGTGAGAAGATTCTAGAAGCTAAAAATGGTTCAGTTAAACATTTCCCTCTCTTTGTGTTTTCAGTTAGCCATTAGCAAGCTAACAGCATGGCCTACCATTTTAACATAGTGCTAGCTGCTTAAAAAAGCACCTATGATTAGTCTACTCTTTCTTAAGCCCAAAGAATACTTCAGCTTTGAAGTAAATGCTTAGCTACAGTAAGTCGCATAGCCTTATTATGAGCAATAAAAATGTTGAGTTTATCTTTCAACCCCCCTCACACAGTGTCTTGTCAATGTAGGCATCTGTTGTTCTTGCCATCTCCAGTAGTTTGTTGTTGTTGTTCCATG